AGTCTTGCTTGTGGCCCAGGCTGGAGTGCAGTGGTGCGATCTTGGCTCACCACAACCTCTACCTACCAGGTTCAAGTGATTCTCCTGCCTCAGCCTCCTGAGTAGCTGGGATTACAGGCATGCACCACCACGCCTGGCTACTTTTTTGCATTTTTAGTAGAGGCAGGGTTTCTCCATGTTGGTCAGGCTGGTCTTGAATGCCTGACCTCAGGTGATCCTCACGCCTCGGCCTCCCAAAGTGCTGGGATTACAGGCGTGAGCCAGCACCCCCGGCCTCATTTGAACTATTCTTCAGCGTGCAGTTGAGTGTCAGTAAGTACATTCATACTGTTGTATAGCCATCACCGCCATCCATTTCGAGACCTTTTTCATTTTTCCAAACTGAAATTCTGTCTCCGTAAAACGCTAACTCCTCTCTTCCCCTCCCCCAGCTCCTGGCACCTACCATTCCACCTTCTGTCTCTATTTGATGACTCTAGGGCCTCCTCTAAGTGGCACAATGTCCTGTGGTGCCTGGCTTATTTCACTCAGCACGAGGTGCTCAGGGCCCCTCTGTGTCACCGCCTGCGTCCGGACTCCCTTCCTTTTTAAGGCTGGGTGCTGTTCCACAGTCTGTATACGCCACATTTGTTTATCCATTCATGACATTTGGGTTGTTGTTGAAATCTCAGTCGACTGCACACTCCTGCTGCCAGCTGCATGCTGGGAACAGGCCGGTGCTCCGGGTCACTTGCCGAGTATGGGACACAGCTGAGCACACTCACTCCCTCTCTGGCCCCAGGACACACCCTCTCTGAGCACTATAGCAAGCCGGGAAGGACCTACACTTGTCGGCCTTGACCGAGGGCCGCCTGGTTGTGTGGAGTATAAACAGCTGGGTTGTAAAGAGTTAAGAACATCACTTTCCTGCTATACTCATGGGGAAGAAGCTGACGGCGAACCTGGAGCACTCCCTGGATCCTCTTTTATTCAGGCCGGGAAGGCTCGGGGCTTGTCCCCAGAACAAAGCTGCTTCGTGAAACATCAGGGACTCATGGAAGAACCTGCGTCTGTGTCTGCCACCATCACATCAAATGATCTAAAACAAATTGGGGTTTTCTCTTCAAAGCACTGTCTCTTCTTAAATGGGGTTATTCGAATCAATGATCATTAGTCAAGGCTAATTTTCTTTTCCAGAATGTTCTCCCTTCCCTCTCCCCTAATGTAAACACTGACAGTACTCCAGGCTCAGCTCAGCGGGTGACACACTTTGAAGCCATCGTCACCCTTATCAGTTTTCCCGTTTCTCCCTCCTGCAGGGCCGACTGTGCCGCTGATTGTCCTAGCCAAAGCACCTTCCCTGTTTACTGAGCTGTTTCGCCCCAGTACCGTGCAGTTCCCGATCAGATTGTAAGCTCTAGAAGGCAGGAACAATACCTTGCAGTTCAGACTTTGGCACCTAAGACAATACTTTGCTACACCCACGTTTAATAAAATAATTGAATGAACAAGAAGAATAGGAATGGCATGTTCTGAGCACGGCAACACATCTTCTCCTAAAGGATAACAATTGCTATAGATTGAACTCTGTCCCCTAAAGAGAGAGGTTGAAGTTCCAAGCCCCAGTACCTGTGAATGCGACCTCTGGAAATAGGGTCTTTGCAGATATAATCAGGTTAAGATTATAGGGGTGGGCCCTCGTCCAATACAGCTTGTGTTCTTTTTTTTTTTGAGACAATGTCTTGCTCTGTCACCCAGGCTGGAGTGCAGTGGCGCAATCTCAGCCCACTGCAACCTCCACCTCCTGGGTTCCAGCAATTCTCGTGCCTCAGCCTCCTGAGTAGCTGGGACTACAGGCACAGGCCACCATGGCTGGCTAATTTTTTGTAGTTTTAGTAGAGACAGAGTTTCACCATGTTGCCCAGGCTGGCTGGTCTACCCGCCTCGGCCTTCCAAAGTGCTGGGATTACAGGCGGGAGCCACTGCACACGGCCAGACTCTAAATCTTAAACCTCTAGAATAACACTTCTGTCTGTTTTACGTTTTTTGTTGCTTTACCTATGACATTTTATGAATACTGTAGTATCCCAATCAAGGTAAATTCAAATAAAGCTTTCAAGGAATGATTTTTAAGAAAAAGCCCAGGGGAAAAGAAAACCTCTTCCTGGTCACCTAGTCATGTCCCAGATGTTATCATTTTTCTTTTCATTTTTTTTTTTTTTTTTTTTTTTTTTAGACAGTCTGCTCTGTTGCCCAGGGGCTGGAATGCAGTGTCGTGATCTCAGCTCACTGCAGCGTCTGCCTCTTGGGTTCAAGCAATTCTTGTGCCTCAGCCTCCTGAGTAGCTGGGGTTACAGGTGCACACCACTATACCCAGACAATTTTCATAGTTTTGGTAGAGACGGCATTTTGCCATGTTGGTCAGGCTGGCCTTGAACTCCTGGCCTCAAGTGATCTGCCTGCCTTGGCCTCCCGAAGTGCTGTGGGTACAGGTGTGAGCCACCACACCCAGCCATTTTTCGCTTACTTCCACTTGCTATTGTGCCCTCACATTTCTCCCTCAGCCTGTGATTTGTGTTACAATATCCTGAAGATGTTGGGAGCACACAGCCTCTGCGTTGGCTGTGGACAGACTGCGAGGCTTGGGGCAATAACCACTCTGCCCTCCCTCGGCCACCTGGCAGCCCCACCCACAGAGGGGCCCAGACTTACGGCTTTGGAGGAAGCATAGTGTGTCGGTGATGCCAGTGGAGGCCTGGTCGGGCTCTGGAAGGAAGACGGGCAGAACCTCTGCCCTGTGTCCGGAGGGGAAGAGGAGGCATAGATGCGATTCTCTAACCGTTCAGGCTCATGCTTATAGGACTCGAGGGGAAATGTGTGCTGCTTGGTCACTTGCGTGGGTGTTGACGGAGAGGAGGAGAGGCCGGAGGCTGCAGAAGAAACACCAAGGGGTAGTTAGAAGTCTGGCCTCCAGGAAGGGACACCACGGGTGGTCAGAGGTCCGGCCTCCAGGAAGGGACACCAGGGGTGGTCAGAGGTCCGGCCTCCAGGAAGGGACAC